GGTATCGCCCATCCCTACCTTGTGGGGAAAGTTTGTTTGTTTGGTTACCATCAGAAAACAAGCTTATAAATCATGCAAAATTAAATTGTTTGAAAATCTAAAAAAAGAAAGAAAGTCTATTTGAAATGGCGTGAGGTTGAATAAACCAACTCTCTTTTTGTGGTTGTCTTCCAATATCTAATAATTTAAGATTTGAGATTTGAACGAATTCATATAAGGCAGAACTAATGAGAACATGTTGGATATTTTCTTGCATTTTTAAGAACTGCAGAAGAAATGAATTGCTTGCACACATCTTTGATTCCTGCAGCATATAAACGATATCTCTACAACCCAAGTGATTTTCCTTTGAAGATACATGATGGCCCTGCTCATTTTTTTTGTCCACATCTTATATATTTAGAGTGAATATTTTCAGAAGTCACTGCATTCAATACTTCATATGAATGACAAGCACTGTCTACGTCACTGAAAGCCAAATTTATTCACATCTTTTTGTACAGCATTTAAGGCATCATGTTCAAAGCAAAAGAGCAGCAGCACCCTATGGTGTTTGAACATTTCTCTGAACAGTTCTGATGCTTTCATACTTACGCTGAATTATCTTAATTCGACTTTTAAAGCAATCGGCCACTTTACCACAGCTGCAGAAAACAGACCATAGAGTAGTGTCTGTGCTGAGTGCAGATACTGTACAGAGTAATTGACAATGTGTGTGAAAAACAAGAAAATAGCCATCCTGCTGCTGTAGTCTGAACTCTTTTTGAGTAAGGTTAGCAATGTAAAAGTGGAATCGTTTTTGATAGATTCAAAATTGAGTACTGACGAAAGTGTTTGGCCTTTTAGCTTTTAGTGATCACATAACCCTCCCAAATGTAAGCATACTGAACAAAGATAAGTTTATTGCGATGATAATAACAGACTATTGAACACAAACTCACTTGAACAACTGCAAAAGTAATATAGATGTTATTGTTGATAGCATATATATTTGTTGCAATATAATCACTGCAAAAGAACATGAGTCTTATTCTATGAAAACTGACGAGAATTTTGTTGAATTAAAGCTATGGATCCTTTGAGAAAACACTGTTTTGTGATCTTTAAAAGGCAGCTCATTATGAAGCTGAACACACTATATTTAGTTGTTCACTTTCACACATTCAGCAAGTCAACTGTGAGAATAATTATGCCTACATTTCATAAAATAAACATTAAAAAAAACTCTCCACATAAGCAGTGCATAAAAACGGTTTCCACAGTGCAATGAAAGAACATTAATCTTATTTAAAAGTTTCATATGAAGACTTATTTGCTTATGAAGCAAATACCACTTCCAATTGTTTGTGCACATAAAACATTTTCTAGTTTTCTTCACAGATTGCCGTTTTTAAAAAAAACATTATTAATGTTTATTTTGATATTTGGTATTGGCTCTATGTGTGGGAAGTAAGGTCATTCATCACAAGGAAAGCGTTTTGCTATCTGTGTATCTTGTGAACATTAGCGCTGCTAAACCATGCAGATTAAAGGTTTCTTTACACAGCTGAGTTAAGGCTGCTCAAAATTTGGTGTAAAGTTGCAAGCCAGACTAAATTATGCCTGCTCTAATCCATTGGCATAACGCAATTAGCGTCAGTTGTAATTGTGTAAATGCATTTATGCCACCAATGTGCAGCAGTAAACAGTGTGAAGACATTTAAATGCCACTTCAGAAACACTTCTGTGCCACCTTTGCAGTGAATATTTAGCACAGTGTTGACGTGTTCTAACTGGGAATTACAACTATGTGTCCATATTTTTTTTTCTAGGGTGTTGTCCTAAATATTCAATTTTGCACTTTCATCATTGGAGCTATTAGAAACCTAGGTGCATTTCAGAACTGTGGTAACCATGGAGACTGCAGGATCCACTGATGTTAGCCCAATCCAGCCTGAGCAAGGTACTATGAGAGCCAGCTTTATTCCTCAGGATTATACTGAGAGATTTTGGGATTTCTTTTTATTATAGGAACATGGATACTCATTTTGGTTTGCTACTTTTAGACTTTTATGGTCTCATCTTGTTCACGGTTTGCTAAATATTATCCGTTATTAAAAAAGTATTAAAGAAAAGGTCTGGAAACTATCATACCTGTCCCGAATTTATTCATGTGCACTCCACGCGTCACCCAGTCCCACTTCCTACTTTGAATGCATTGTGTGCTCAAGTGTGAAACCTGGTTCTTGGTAGTCGAGGTACTCACAAAATGAGCACACTGAGCAGAACTCGTACAGCATGACAAAATCTGTTTCTGACACAAGCGCAGGGAGTGAGAAAGCTTCTCATCAGAGCGGCTGGCCCAAAAACACATTATACCTGCCACAGCGGGCAGGAGTCATCATTACTGTGATGAAGCCGAGACAGGGCCGGTGAGACTGGTCTGATCCGATCCAGCTTTAATCAGAGGTGTGAACCACAGCGTCAGATCAGTATTTGATGAGTGAGGGCCATAAATCAAACATTTACCCGACAGCTTTGATCGCAGAGGGCATAGGGGCCACCGAAGCTGAGGAAAAACACTGCATATGTATATCCTGGAGATGTACCATCTGCTAATCTGTTTTTAATGAAAGTCTTTTTGTTTTTATTTGGTCCTTCTAGGCTTTGGTTAGATACTGCGACAGAACACCCTAATGATCTTTCCTTTTCAATTAAGCAGCTCGGTTTTCGTAACTTTCATAAGCACAGTATTCCAGAATTAATTGCAAGTCCAATATGAGAGAGTGACCTTAATCAACAAGCATCCTCAAGGTACTTTCACATGTGAAAGTGAAGAAAACATGAAACGTAACAGCTCCATCAGCCTCAAAGAAACAAAGAGCTGAACATACATTAAGGGAACAGGCTCAATCATTTGCAAGACAAATTATGCACCTTTATAACAAAGCAGAAACCAATCAAATCATTTTCTCATGCTATAGCTACTATATGATGTGTTCAAGTTTAAAGGAGTCCATCACACCATGCATTTTTGTGGCTATTTTTCCTCCAAGGACCTCCTATTAAGTCTCAGAAGTGCCGTCTACAAAAGAAAGCCTCCTAACAAAGCACTCAGAGTCCCTACAGTGCCAGACTGGATGTCCACAAAGACCCTGCTCATATTCACATATATATCAAATTTAGAGACAAAAGGGGGTTGTTTTATTAAAAGTTGAAAAAGACAAGATATGGCATGTTACTTGTGGAGGAGCATTTTTTTAGCGCGTGACTTTGGGTCAGGTTTAAATCCTTTCAAGTCTCAGAGTTGTTGCCATCTCTGTAAAGCAGTTTGATTATTGATACAAGCTGTGCAAGGACAACGGTTTGAACACTGATTTTAGCACTTTTTACTTGCTCAGTAATTGATTTTTCTTCCAAGATCCAAAAAATCTTCTGTACTGCAATTAAGACATTTGTAGGTTTACTTTATATGATCTGTCATAATTCAGCGCTTACCCAAATAGTGCACGTACTCTGCATCTGCTGTGTACAAATATCTGATAAACATCTTTCAGATGTCAGTTTTACATATTAATACTAAACGACTATTTGACATCTGACAGGAAACGTCCTAGACGTATTGCAGATGAGCAAATACTCGAGGCTAAATCATAAACATCTTAAAGACATCTTCTAAACGACTATTTGACATCTGACAGGAAACGTCCTAGACGTATTGCAGATGAGCAAATACTCGAGGAAAAAAACAAAAAAAAAAAACACCTGAAAGATGTAAATGCAGACGTAAAATAAACGTCTCGGTGTGCTATCAGGGTATGTGGAGCCTCAGCCACCCACTTTGAGATCTTGGCAGCTCATGAAACTGTTGCTAGGATACAAGAGCGCCATCATCTGTTTAGTCAGTTTAAAAAAAAATTTGAGAAAGGCTTAATTTTATGCATGGATAAATTAACCCAAATAACTACAACCCGCATATAAATATATAATTAATAACAAATTCATACAAAAAATTATTTACAAGTGAACTCCATATGTTTTATTACATGTCTTTATTGTCCAAAGTACCATAAAATGATAACTGTACAACTCGGCGCACTTAAGCAGAACCAGGGCACTAAATATCCAAATTGGGTTGCTGGTTGTAGTTGAAGACACATTAAAAAAATTTACATATTTACATAGAAAGACTTAAAGTGTGTTGATGCTCTTCGCATAGGAAACTTAAAAAAAATTAAAAAAAAACAAGTTCTTAAGAAACTTTCAAACAATGCAAGTCCCTGGTACTGGACACATGGGGTGAGGAGAGCAGACAGTGGATCAGAGATGAGAATGGTCAGAAAGGCACTCTGTGATGTCTATGTACAGGTCATCCATCATTCAGTGAGAGCAACTCGCGTCCAGGCTATTCACAGTAGTTAACTCTTTACATCCCAGTTGACATTTACACCATTATTAAAATGAGTCAAAACAAACATGAGAAATGTTCCATCAAGTACCCATATTGTTCAAGTTGACGACAGCTTAAAACAATTCTAACTGAAGTGGGGAACACACGACAAATCACTGAACAGACATGGACGACAACAGCAACTTAAATCAAACCACACTGGGAATTTAAAAATGTAAAAACTCGGGTTGAGGAGATGGGATGCCAGATCAACAGAGCATTCTGAAATTACAGCACCATGTCTAGCTCGGTCTCTTGCCAGGCCTTTCCTAGCGGTTAGTACGCTTCTCAGTGTTTCATTACAACACGCAGCCTGAAAACTCAATGAAGGAGCTTAATTTTTGTTGCTGAAACAACGCAAATGGATTTTATTCGACTCCTGTGGTAGATTGTCCTCTTTGGTGTTTCATGATCTCAACAAGGCTAAAACTACATTTTTAAAACAATTCATTCTCGCCAGGCACCACATTTAGCCGTGTTAAGCTAAAAGGCTACAATTCTCTGTGTGTTTCTTGCGCTGTAAAATACATTAAGGTAAGTGTAAACATGATCAGTATATTGTCCAATGGCACTAGACAGATGATGGACCCCAGGACGACCAGAACGTCGTGTCCTCTTCCACAAGTCTCACATTCCCCTGCTCCTTAACAGGCATCACAGCACTGCTGCGGATCTCACACCTGCAAAGCCACTCAAACGTCTCGAGATATTTGTTTGATAAAATCGACGCACTCATCCTTTGCCCTAACATCATGATGAGGAATTATGCATGTCACGACATCAACGAAAGACCGCAATGTGAAGGCATCGTCGTATAGGACATCCGCTCGAAGCGGTTCTCCTTTGACATCAATGCATAATGCAGTGAATGTGACGATCCTTCCTTTGACGGATGTCCTGTACGGGATGGGCTCTCCACAGAAGTAATAGGCCACAATGATGTTCTCACAGGGTTGCTTCTTCATGTTCTTATGCCTGCAAATGAACCGAGAGGCACTTGAAAAACAAACCAAACATTTGTTCTACAATAAAGGAACAAAATTAAACTGAGAAGTACAATGTCCTGAAAGGATGTCTGGACCAGAGCCGTATTTCAAAGGCTCTTGTACGTGCTCTGCTGGGCTTGAAGTGGGCATGAGTGCTGGTGGGTGTCAGAGGATTGGTTTACTGTTACCAAGTAAAATGCATTCCAGATGCCTGACAAATGTTCCTCAGAAAAAAACAAAAAACAAAAAAAAACCACTGGCACTGGCATGTGCTGCTTTCATTTCATCCACGCCAAAGCTTTGATGTCACTAAACTGCATATCTGCATAAGAAGCAGGCACTCATCCGTGGCCTCTCATTCTCCTGCAGCTGATCATTGATTAATACGCCGGAACAACACTTCACTGCAACCAAATTTGTAAGAAACTACGTACTAAAACTGGTAAAACTATATTATATTCTTAAAGGAATAGTTCACCTAAAAATGTGTATATGCTGAAAATGTACTCACCCTTAGGCCAGCCAAGATTCTTGTTAATCAGAAGAAATTTGGAGAAATTTAGCATTACATCACGTTCATCAGTCAATCCTCTGCAGTCAATGGGTGCCGTCCGAATAAGAATCCAAAGAGCGGATAAAAATATCACAATAATCCACAAGACTCCAGTCCATCAATTAACAAATTAAGTGAAAAGCTGCGTGTTTGTAAGAAACAAATCCATCATAAAGGCGTTTTAACTTTGAACCATTGCTTCCAGCCAAAACAGGATTCCATAATCCAGAATACTCCATGAAAGTCTATCCCCCTGTTGTCCTTTTATATCATAAAATCACCAACATATTTGTTTAGAACTGTTTTTTAACTGCAAGCGGTGCTTGATCTGTGCATATTTCTCTCCTGATTCAGAGATGACTTTTTTTACTGGAGAAAGCAATATTATGGAGTGAAGACTCATATTTTAGCTGTAACCAACTGTTTTAAGTTAATGCCTTAATGATGGATTTGTTTCTTACAAACAAGCAGCTTTTTTAATTGACGAGATGTTAACTGATGGATTGGAGTCATGTGGATTATTGTGATGTTTTTGACTGGACTTTCATTCTGGTGGCACCCATTCACTGCAGAGGATCCACTGGTGAGCAAGTGATGCAATGATACATTTTTCCAAATCTAGTGAGTAAATTTATATTTTTGGTTGAACTATTCCTTTAACAGTGGAATAGGCTAAACAAGTCTGGATAGCTCTACACAGAAGCGTTAGTGAACTACGTGAAGGCACAGCCCTGACAAACATGTGAGGGTGCATGTATCGGTAGCATGGGATGGTGAAGGGAAGGGCTACGCTCTATGGAGAAGCATGGAGGACATACTCGGCCTCGGAGAGCTCCATGTCAGAGACAGCGGGCACCACACTGAGCATGGGGAACAGAGCGGGCCTGACAGTGGTGCGACCCCTCTGAATCACCTCCATCACATACCTGAGGAACAACTCAGTTAGACACACCGGCTGCGTTCGAAGGCTCACATCGCCTATTATACGCATCCACCTAAGCTAGCCACAATGTGTGCGGGAGCATGTCGACTAGAAAGAAGGGGGGGGGGGGGGGGGACACAGGCTTGCATTGTGCATTATGGGTCATGGAGGGATTTCTGACAAAGATGATAACTTCCAAGATGAAGTAGGTTGTAATGCAAAGTTTGTAAATGCAAAGTGCTTAATTTAATCTTTGCTCATGTTGGTTTCATTCTGACATTTTCAACATTCTCCCCCAAAAATATCAAAATTATGCTCAATTGAGAAATTCAGGTAACTGTGTACAAAGTGCTTTTTTAGTGCATTTTCAAACAGATCTGGCCCCAAGAATAAGTGTCATTGACCAAAAGGCAAATTGCATGAGATTATTGTCATGCAATAACAAATCAAGCCACCATGTACGACATACGCAATATCATCTTGTGGTGGACATGTCTTCTCACCTCTGCTTAGCTTGCAATGTTCCAGACTTCCTCCTCTCTTCCTCAAGCCGCCTGCGCGCCTCTTCCAGCTGGGTAAGTGGGTTTGGGGCTGGGTTGGGGGGCATGGTTGGATCTTGGATGAAGGGATGGGAAGGTTGCACATTGTTGCGGAGCTGAGCGGTAACCCAAGGGTGCACAGCCCCTGGTCGCTCCACCGAGCAGGGCCTCGACACCTCGTGACCCTGAGCCTTCTTGGAGCCAGAGATGCTCCTATGATATAAGCGAGACCAAAATTAGCTATCTATCTATCTGCAATGCAAGTGGTGGTTGAGGAGATTCCCCCCTTCTATGTAAAGCGCTTTGAATGTTATCTATCTGACATAATTCTCAACAAAACTATTTGAATTGCTCAAGGTTAGACACCTTTATTACTATTACTACACAGAGTAAGGGTTCCTACCCATAAGGGCTCCTCTTATAGCGTCCAGCTTCCTTCTCCCCCTCCATCATCCACTGCAGTATCTTCTGGTTCCTCTCCATATCATCAAGGGGCAAGGGCTCTCGCATCTCAAAGTTTCGACCATCATCTCCTTTTCTGACCGGACGCTTTGACAGTGTGCTTCCTTTACTGCTACAATGAGACATGAGAACATAAAAATCACAGAAGCTAATGAGACAAATGGCTTCATTAAATGTCTCCAAGTTACACTGCCATTCAAAAGTTTGGTGTCAGTACAATTCCCTTTTTTGAAAAGAAATACATTTTTATTCCGCAAAGAGTAAAGACGTGTTACAAAATAATTATATTTCAAATAACTGCTGTTCTTTTCAACTTTGTTCATCAATGAAAGTTTCCAAAAAATATTAAGTAGCACAACTGTTTTCAAAATTGATCATAAGAAGAAATGTTTCTTGAGCAGCAAATTAGAATGATTTCTGAAGGATCATGTGACACTTTATTATATCAAAGGGGTCCTATTATGCTTTCACTTTTTCAACTTTAGTTAGTCTGTAATGTTGCTGTTTGAGTATAAAAAAAGATATGCAAAAGTTACAAAGCTCAAAGTCCACTTCAAAAGGAGATTTTATTTAACAGAAATTTTAGCTTTTCAAAAACTACAACGAACGTCTCGTTTGGACTACAACGCATATTTTCCGGGATTTGTGATATCACAAATACTGACGAATGGGACGAGATCTGGTTGAGCTGCACTAGAGAAGGCAACGAGTGTTATCACTATGTCGCAGACACGTTAGCTTTCCCAAGGCAGACGAACTTAAGAGTAGTTACAATCATCCGGGTTTAAATCGCGCTCAAATTGATTTGATTTTGACGCAATATTTACACTGGAGCTCGCAGGCGGCGGCTATGGTAAGGGGCGTGACATTTCCCGACCAGGCGCCGAGTGCTGCCAATCACAACACACACTGGCCCAGCTAACCAATCAGAGCACATTTCGTATTTCAGATGGCGGGCCTTCATTTGATACAGGAACTATTCAAGCCGTTCATGCCAGACTGCGGAGAGAGGTGTTGTAATAATGTAAAATGTGAAAAATAATGTGTTTTTCGAACAACCTAGTATGAGAGCCTGTTCTAGTACACCCCCAAAACAAAATCAAGACTTTGTAAAAGAGCATAATAGGACCCCTTTAAAATACAAAACAGTTATTTTAAATTGTAATGAAATTTCCTAATATTAGTGTTTTTACTTTTTCAAAAATATTAAAAAAAAAATCTTATTGACTCCACACTTTTGAACAGTAGAAAAAAAAAAAAGATAGAGGTGCATACCCATAACCCATTGGGTCCATGGCATTGGGGCCGACACTCATTCCATCTGCAAAGTTGCGTGTCTTGGATCCATAGTGGTGTTGCTCCATGTTCCAGGCGAATCCTCCGTGCGTCCTCGTGGCTTCCACCTCCACCTGTTCTTTGGGTTTCCCCCCATAGTGTGTGTGGTGAATGTGTTTGTGATGGTGCATGTGTGCTGCCTCACCCTTTGGGCCTAGCCGAGCCTGGTGCTTGCCTTGGCCACCAGACAGCGGCATCATCACCCCGGAAATCTTGCCCGCGGGAAGCCCGTCAGGGGAGCGGGACTTCGGAGAGTGGCGGCCTGTGCCCGGAGATTGACAACCGGGGGTTTTCATGACACGCTGCACATGCTCATCCAGGATGCTCTCGGGGTTTTCCTCATGTGCGTCCCGTAGCTGCAGCCCATTGTAGCTCATTTCAGAGTAGCGACCGCCATAATGCTGCACATGGACCGCAGGAGGAACCCTGTGATTGGCCAGGGAGGGAGCGGTTGAGATGTCTGCATCATCACCTTCCTCTTCCTACAGGACACAAGATATTATTGAATAATGACAAGATACTTAAAAAAAAAAAATAAAAAAATTGTTATTTACATTGAACTGCATTTGAAAACATCTTATTCAATAAAGAAAAAACACATTTTCTAATGAGTGACTGAATAAGTAAAATTTGACCGGGGAAGCAAGTCTACTGTAGAAAACAATGGGATGTAGAATCACTGTGCAGTAAAATGTTTAAACCAGCAGAGGTCCTACGTTTATAGGTTTCCAAAGATTCTATTGATATGCCTTTGTTATGGTCACACTGAAAACACATCATGGCCTGAAACAGCCATGAGAAAATTCTCTTGTTGCTCAAAACATGAATTTAATATGAATTTTAATAATGAAAGCCCTTCTCGACAAGCAGACCTTTCTCTAGATTATAAATGATCTGACATGCCTGTTCTCTTAAGATTTTAGATTTTACTTGCTAATTTGTTGTGCCATTCTTTGATTTTGATTTTACTGGCAAAAAACACTTAGTTCTGATGACTAAACTGCATTTTAGTCACATTCTGTATTGTTACTAGCAGACAATGAAAAACCATAGTTTTGTCTATGAAAGCAGTTATGACACAAATCGAATTAAACTGTAACTGCGTTCCCACCATATCTTTATTCTGAATAACATTTAGCATATTATAGATTCAGGTTGTTTCACTCTAGGTTGGGGCATTTGCAGAAGATTTCCCCACAAAAATTAATCATTTTATGTGAATGTTCCACTGTTTCAATCAATACCATTTTTAAGGAACAGTGTCAAGTTATTATATTTAGTTAGTTGTAATGAAGTGTCATTGCTGCTTGCATTATGTTGATGTTGGCTAAACTATGAACAGTGTTTCGTAAACTGCCTTTGTGTATTCTCTTTACTGCTAGCTACTAAAATTATTTTATATGAACAGTTCTCGTGATCAGTCGACATGTCATACGTGTTCCACTTGACCGCTGAATTGCCAGCTCACTATATACACTACCGTTCAAAAGTAAAAAAAAAAAAAAAGAAAAATAAATATATTACTTTTATTCAGCAACGAAGCATTAAATTAATCAAAATTGACACGATAAAGAGAATTGTATTGTTACAAAGATTTATATTTCAAATAAATGTTGTTCTTGTCAACTTTCTATTTATTAAAAAAAAAAAAATATCAAGGTATCCAAATTTCATAAAATATTAGTATTTAATAATAAATAATTAGCAGCACAACTGTTTTCAATATTGAGAAGAATTTATTGAGAAGATTGATAATGTTTCTAAATAGAAAAATTAATTTAAATTGTAATAATATTTCAGAATATTATTTATCAAATAGATGCCACCTTGGTGAGGATGAGACCTCTTCAAAAAAAAAAAAAAAACCTTAAACCCAAAACCTCGTGAACGGTAGTAACAGAGTGTGTGTGTGTGTGTGTGTATATATATATATATAAATTTTATTCTCTGTTAACAATGCAGTCACATTTTTCATTTATTTCCATCCAAATTCCTTTTTCATCAAATGTGCCTTTTAATTTGGTCGTCTTCTCGTTTTATAATAGAGAAAGTCAATAAAGCTGAAACCACAGCAGGTCATTTGTGTGCAATGCTTTGAATCTCTTTCAAATTTTGAGGATTTGGCTCATGCACAATTTTATTTTTACTGAACAGCTGTGCGGGTCAGCGCTCTGGATGATCTTTAACAGATCATGCCAAAAAAAAGAAAAAGAGATGAGGTGGGAGACAACACAAATCCAACCGCAATGCGCAAAGCAGCCAATTTTCATTGCGTCTACTCGACCTATAAAAAACTGAATTCTGTCTGAAAATGACTGAATAACACCTAGAATGGTGATATCAGAGTTTATTCAGACTTGTCAAGGTTCAGTTGCTGGCAAAAACATGTTTAACTGTCAGAGTCCATCCTGCTCAGTGGAGCAAAGAGAGCAAGTGCTGTATATAGAAGATGGTTTCTCAGCTGATAGGTACAGAAAACTTAAAACAAGTTTGCTGAAAGCTGAGGCACCAGTGAGAATATCAATTAGGACACAAATGCCATTCCTCCTTCGGCTCTTAATAACTCAAAGTCACTGTTCTGTGATGGAAGTTACTCTTACAGGAGGCCAAACTACATAAATAATCTTCCTTGAGACTTAACACCTGGCTTTGAGTCGGGAAAAAGATTCCCATTTGCGGTGTGCGCAAGCATTTCTTCACGCCCCGGCTGACTTCAAACAAAGTCATTACACTGAAGCACACTAGCAAGTAGCTCAATCTCAGCAGGCGATTCACCTGACACTGAACAGAAAGACGAAAGAAATGAGCGGAGCCTCCTTGATAAGACAGGAAGTCTTTAGAACACATCCGACTGTCTCGCTCATGAACAGAAGTGGCAGAGACATCAGTGTTTGATAAAAGGGGAAACAAAAAAAAACCTACTATAGCTCAAACTACGGCAGTGACGTGACGATTCAGATGCACTCACCAGTCGAACCCTCTTGAGCCGCTCTTCCAGTTTTTCTTGCGCCTCACGTTCCCTCAGCACCCCCTCCAGCCTGCTGATGAGCTCCGCTGCAAACTTCTCTGGCTCAACGTGAATATCCTTTGGCATCCGGTTTGTGCGCTGATGGGAAGACAATGTGAGTCAATACTCAAGGTCACTATTCACAATTAATGTGATGCGCTTATAAAAAAGAAGCTACAACAACAGCTGCTGATTACACAGGCATGTACAGGGAACAATAATACATGACAGTTTAAAACACAATAGTGAACGCAAAAGAACATTAATACAGGCTAGGCAGAAAAATATTTGACTAGATGAGAATGAATGCAATGCTTCTGTACACAGACTTCAGTAATCAGTTCCAGTCTGAAATAGTGATGCAGTTTTTTTATCGAGAAAAATAAATAAATTGTAAACCCAAATTTTCATTTAACCGAAGCCAAAAATAAAGTTTATTAATAAATTATTTAAATCACATTTGAACACTGAAATAAAAACTTAAACTGCATGTTTTTAGGCAAATTGCATGTTTTTTCTATCCGTTTTTTAATGATGTTTCTAATCTAATTAGTTAAAACATTTAAACAGCAGCTGTAATAAATCGTCAATCACTTGATGTTACTTCGGTCAAAAACAGCTCCACGAAATAAGTTAAACTGTTGGCAACCAGCTGTCACTGTTTACAGCTGTGAGAATTCTAAATATGGCTATAGTTATCCCCATGTCAATCATCATAATGTTGCATGTAACTCCTGTATTCTGTACACACATGAAACGGTAACACAGATCAAGGAATTTACTCCTACATTTCGATGTGGTTGTCAGAGAAAGTAGTTATGAAATATTATCCCTTTGACATGTAAAATCAAACCGGCGCGATTAGAACATTTAATTACGTAATCAAACTGCATCTGCTTTTGAACTATTGTTTCACGTTGCGCTGTTGTTGCTGACTCAGAATGAGGGACTGGCTGAGCAGTTATTATTTGTTATTTGAATGTCTGAAAAGGCTTAAATCAAATGTTTATTTTGTAACAGACATTAAAAATAATCAAATGAACAGATCGCAAGATGTAATTTAGATGTGATCACCCTAAATTAAAAAAAAACTACATTTATATTACATGTTGTAGTACAACAACAACAAGGACATAATGAAATGCACTAATATAGGTAAAGGAGAGAAACTTTTTTTTTTTTAAATACACTATTGTTCAAAAGTTTTTTTTTTTTTTTTTACGTTTCTGAAAGTGTCTTGTGCTCATCAAGGCTCATATATTTGATTAAAAATACTGTAAAAACAGTAATACTGTGAATCATTATTACAATTTTAAAAAATTATCTTCTATTTTAATGTGTTAAAATTAGGGTTGGTTATCAAAAACTGGTTCCAAATTTCCAAGAACCGGGCATTCGATAAGACGCGTGCATTTCAATTCTGCTTAACGATTCCTGCGTTCGCATTTTAATGTGATTAAAAACTATTTAAGTGCAGGAACGGAAAGAACTTGCGCCCTGTTTGCGTGCAGCGCACACGAAGTGCAAGCGCGAGCACAGAGGTCATGGTACGGGTTCACGGTTTGTGTCCGTTCTCGACCCGTTCCGTGTATTTCCACTGTAGAAAAAGTGTTTTCCGGGCCGAAACTGACTTCTTGCATATTTGTCGACCAATATGCACAAAACTACGTCAGTATATCATCATAAACAAATAAAATCTCTCTCTTTATTTATTCCTTCTCTTTCTAGCTTGTACTTATTTGAACAATGTCTAAGAACTTGGTATTACAACCACTTCTTGTGTCTGTTTGCCTCTTTAAGTAGAATCGCTTTATGTATCCCCCAATTGTAAGTCGCTTTGGATAAAAGCGTCTGCTAAATGACTAAATGTAAATGTAAATGTAAATGTAAACGTGCTGCCTGTCATTAATATTAATCAAAGAATAAAAGTAAATCATTCACTGATCTTGACTGAATATATTTAATAACATGAATTGATTAATCTATATTTTATTTATGAAAAGAAAACTATGCAGTGTTTTTAAACTTTTAATTACAGTTTCTGTACCTGAAATTTTGTTCAGTTGTATTTATGATATTGCTAATTGATTTGTTTGTTCCTATCTTATTACTGACTGTTTACTTGTCTTTAACACTTGAATATTTGAAATTTATATTAATCTAGTTGTTTTTGCGGTGTTTTTTTTTTTTTTAAAGCATAGGCAAAAAATTCCTCTTGCAGTTTTCTGTAGGTAGGATTTTTGCTCGCGTTATTCAGCTGCAACAGAACGCTTTCTAAAAAGACAGAATAAATGTCTAAATGTTTAAATCTAAATGTTTGTCTTAATTTTTTTTATATTGGATTTTTTTTTCTTATTGGAATCGAAACTAGGAATCGATAAGAATCAGAATCGATAAAATTAAAACGATGCCCAACCCTAGTTAAAATGCAATTTATTCCTGGATAAACTACACTCATACACACTGTCTCCCTCTAGTGTACCGTCAGTGACAGCACAATGATTCATGATCCTAACAGAACTTTTTGAAAACTCAATCCAACTGAGGGAAAATTAAAAAAACAAACAAAAAAAAAACACTATCCACCTTCACACATTGAGCTTGCAACATGAACCCAAAACTTAAAACGAAGAGCTGAATATCAGATAATCACTCTTTATCTGAGCAGATTAGGTGGCACAGGTGAAAGGTGCATATACATTTTATTATGCTATTTTTTGCTCTCAAGCCACCAGGACTCTAAACAACTTAAGTTCAGGAAATGTATTATTCCAGAAGTCTGGAAGGAGAAAAGAGACGGGGGAGGAGGACAGACACATGAAGAAAAATAGTTGCAGGCAGTGCCTGGACAAGGTCCAATAAAACCTTACAGGAGCCGTTAAAATTTTGATTACAGGGCCAAATCTGATCTAAAGTCGGTTTCAGCTCTCTTTGTTCTGGCCTTCTGTTTACTTAAGATTCATCAGTCTCCTCCGCAGCCCACACGGTTATATGCCCAGTGGAACTGCAGAATCTGTCAAGTCTTGACAAGGCGTTTTGGTTACTAACACTGCCTCCCTGCCGCAGACCACGCTTACAGAATATAAGAAAGCCTTTTAAACTTAACAGAGACCGAACGCACGAATGCAACCAAATGGGGAAAAAAACATCCCAGCGAGAGCGTGTTAAAGCTTTAGAACCATAAAAATAATATGAACAATGTACAAGATAAAACCTGAGCAAAGTGGAGTAATAACAATTAAAAGTCAACAGTTCATCAGAAAATAAAGATTCTTCACTCATACAATGTTCTTTCTTCAGTTAAACAAAAAAGCAGCCATTAGGGAAAATCTGCTTTTTTTTATATACAGTGGGTACGGAAAGTATTCAGACCCCCCTTAAATTTTTCACTCTTTGTTATATTGCAGCCATTTGCTAAAATCATTTAAGTTAATTTTTTTTCCTCATTAATGTACACACAGCACCCCATATTGACAGAAAAACACAGAATTGTTGACATTTTTGCAGATTTATTAAAAAAGAAAAACTGAAATATCACATGGTCCTAAGTATTCAGACCCTTTGCTCAGTATTTAGTAGAAGCACCCTTTTGATCGAATACAGCCATGAGTCTTTTTGGGAAAGACCCAACAAGT